AATTTCTCATAGAAGTGTTCTCCCGCCCAACATTCCAGCCTTCTATTCTGAGAGGTAATTAAGGTATGTTTCTTCTCTGAGATTGTCGCGCTTATCACTTGTCCCTTACATTTTCACCCATGATGATCCTAAATAGATGTATGGTGTTGCCTACTGCCTTTGCCTTTTCAGTGTCCTTTCTTTTTGTCGCTCATTACGGTTTCAGGTTGTTACGGAGTCTCTTAGTCAGTTTGCGGTCGGAAAGTTTTGACTCCTCATCATGTTTAGATCCCATCGCGACACTCGTAAGGTGAATTTTGTAGATTTACCCTGTCGGTTAGGTCAGGTTATCAGAAAAATCCTCGCTTGAGTCTTGTACGTGTGTGTTCGAAACACAGAATATATTCGCAGCTCGAGATGTCAGGGTTTTGACGAATGAAGTGTGTTTTCCGATTCGGTAAATTTCTCAACGTTCAATGCTCTAAAAGGGCAGCATGGTTTTAAGGGACCATCAGCAATGTTTTTCCATATCCCGTTACCAATAGTGGTAGCAGACATAAGAGAAAATAAGAGACCTACCTGTGGAATGATACCAACAGTCGGAGAAAAGCATGAAGATGAATCTAGGAAATGAGCAGGGCAGTTGCGTATGTAACTACTTCGCTACTACGAGTGCACCTCACCCAACAGCTGTAAGACAATGCTGCATGCCAAGTAATCCACAACGGGAAACTCACGGAATCCTTCAAAGTGAAGACGGGGGATAGGCAAACTGGCTGGCTGCCTACTATCTCCAATGGTCTTCCTGATTGCGGTAGACTGGATATTGCGACAGACAGCGGACAACGAGGAAACAGGCATAAAATGGACCAACACGAAAAACTTGGAGGATCTGGACTTCGCCGATGATATATGTCTGATTTTCAACAAACTGGAAGATATGCAAGTGAAAAGCAACAAGTTGGCAGAACAAGCATCCAGAGAAGATAGGATTTCAGGTGAACATAGAGAAAACAGAGATGATGAAGATTCCTGGCCAACAGCAACAAAAACAGACAGCAATCAGCATAAATGGGATAAACCTGAAAGAAGCAGCCTCCTTTAACTACGTGGTAAGTATTGTTCCAGCTACAGGCGGGTGATGAGGATGTCAAAGCGAGGAACATCGGGAAAACAAGGCAAGATTTCATTACTCTCAAGTCTGTGTGGAGATGAACAGCGCTCAGCGTGAAAAATAAGGTCCGGATTCTGAACTACAACGTGAAGTCAGTTCTACTTAACATACGGATAAGAGACTTGGCGCTGTGTCACGAAGGCCACTTCAAACAAACTACAGACCTTCATCAACACCTGTCTCCGTTGAATACTGCTCAAGATCAGATGGTCGGTCAGGAAAGATCAGCAACAGAGTGGGACCTCTGGCAATGAAGGAACCAACCCAGCAGCAGGAAGTGATTGTGCAACAAATATATGGGAAGGAATGGAGATGAATGTGGATTTGCCATACTTCGAGAGGATCATCAAGTGAGTGACATCACATGCCGGGCCATCGCTCCAGTGGAACCCGAACGGGAAGTAGTGAGTTGGTCATCCAAGGGTGACTTGGAGGAGGTCATGTGAAGAGGAGATGAACGCATGTGGGCAGACGTGGAACCAGGTGAAGACGTTGGCGGAGAACCGAACGCAATGGAGACGTGAGGCTGAAGCCCTATGTTCCTCTAGGATCTAAAGCAAACAATAATAAAGGGTTATTACTTTCTAACTTCATTCACTGTGGAAGCTGGTTTCCTCTTGAAATATCTGAAATAGAAGTATCATTAGTGTTACGTGAGTTCAAAACCCACCGGTTAATTATATCTCTCTTATTATTTAATACATAAAATCAATAATCATATTTCTACTTTACAGAAAGTCATTGTTGCCATGGCTACAGCAAATGAACTGGATGCATGAATTTCGAGGAATGACTAACATTTCGATGTACTGAATTTCAAATGCATACATATACTAGGCATACAATATATCCATTTTTCATTATGTTTTACATATGCCCTTCGTTGGCAGTTTAAAGACGCCATTATTCATGGAAATTCCGTAAAAACTTAGTTGGACGGGAGGATTTTGTGGGGATTTTGGGGTTATTTCGGAGAGGTTTGGGAGTCACCTTTGCGTTACTTAGGGATTTGGGGTATTCTAAGAGGAAGTGCCGAAATCCCCCAAAATACCACCAAATTTTTTTATTTGGGCTGTAAGTATGGTACGTCTTTTGCACCATATAGGTGCAAGGTAAATTTGTCAGACTGACGGGTGCCTGTATCTGCACTTACCTTCTCAGATGGGCCACTTGAGGTAGTCGGTAAGTTCATGTATCTAGGTAGTTGTGTAAGGAATGGCATCTCTAGCCACCACCAGCGTCTTTAACCTGGCTGTCAAAGGTCGGGTTTGCTACACTACGGTGCGCGCAGTCTTGCATTATGCCTGTGAAGTCTGATTTCATTGAGGTGAAGAGACTCTCAATGTTCGATCTTTGCTGCTGCTGTCGAATTCCATGATGCTGAAGGCATCATCATGTAAGTAATTATGAGGTCCAGAATCGGGTTTTTCATCTTGCCTTTAGTGTTGTTATATTGGAACACTGACTTCGGTGGCTTGAATATGTACTACAAATGTCATCCCAACGACTGTTATACGGTTCGTACGGTTTGCTATTTCTTTGCCTTAGGACCGGGTGAAGAAAAGGAAAGCTGGTCAGCAAGTAACGTGGCACCGTGGAATGAAGGATATCTGTATTAAGTTAGCATCTGTTAGCACATCACGACTCCCTGGGTGTGTTCTGAGAGATAATTCCAATCAGAGGCTTGAGATGTTGTCATTTATAGCCAAGAACATTGATCATTGGTGAATGTGATGCGATTTTCGCCTTTCTTCCCTTTCTGGAAGTAACATAAAGTAATGAACCTTCATTTAATTGCTCTTGAAAAGCACGCTTAATTGTTTTCTGGATATTGTCTCCTGTTTACTCTATTTCTATTTTCCTTATTTTATTGCTTTTAATTTTTGTGTGGCACATCTATTGGCGCACATTTTGTACCGTCTGTATTTTAATAGTAATTTATAAGGTAGAGTGAATACATTAAACTTTGAAACAGTTTTTATTGAATTTTAGATTTTCCCGTCGATTGATTGGACCGAAGTGCTCGGTCTCAGGTTGGCATGTCGGCTTCTTGTGCAGATACTTCGACGATGTCTGGGCATTTAATTAGAATTTAATTGGTGGATGGTGACTAGCAGTGTAATCCAGGAGGCACATTTCGTCCCATTTGGGACTCGTCATCTGGATGTACCTGCATTTCTCAGTGAGTGATGATGTTCTCGCCGAGGCTCGAACCCAGTGCCCATAGTTTCAAACGCCAAAACGTTATCCACTAGACCACTTGGGCCACCTATTGTGCATTCTGGATTACACTGCTAGTCACCATCCACCAATTAAATTCTAATTAAATGCCCAGACATCGTCGAATTATCTGCACAAGAAGCCGACACGTCAACTTGAGACCGAGCACTTCGGTCCAATCAATCGACGGGAAAATCTAAAATTCAATTAAACTAATATAACTCGTTGCACAAGAGGTGGCTCTCGTGGCCCAAGTGGTCTAGTGGATAGCGCTTTGGCGTTTGAATTTATGGGCACTGGGTTCGAGCCTCGGTGGGAACATCATCACTCACTGGGAAATGCAGGTACATCCAGGTGATGAGCCCCAAATAGGACGAGATGCGCCTCCTGGATAACACTGCTAGTCACCACCCACCAATTAGACTTTTAATGAGGTTTAACCCCTTCTCATGACTGTCATACGTGTTGTTTCTATCAGAAAGCAGCTGCAGATTCTTAGTTGCTCGTAGGGAACTGAGTTAAATATTAAAGTTTACTTCTGTTTGATATTTCCTATCACAATGTTTAGTACAGAAATGTAGGTTATTCGGAGGCCTATTCACCATACATACCACTAGCAAAGACTTTAACTCGGTGATGCAGCCTGAGCCCAGGCTTTTCTGGGTTCTCATTCGTAATATTTAAAAATAAGAGCGTTGCAACACCTAGCTGTATACCCATACCTACCTAATCAGTATATCAATAAAAAATTACTCACCAATAATTTTACATTGGAATCGGTCAAGTTTATAGTCAAATTTTTTTCAAAGCTGAATATTTTTAGTCAGTTTTACAATATACAGGGTTTATACAGTTTGTCTCACACATGATTAAAATACTGAGAAATGGTAATTAGGTCAACTTATGTTATGTTATGCAGTATTTGAATATGCTAAGATCACTAGTTGGTTTATTGTTTGTTGTAGAAAAATCAATACGCGTTGTTCACTGTTCAGTTCATGAACTTAGTCATACTTCTGTAATGAAAAAAAAATTCCATCGTATTAAGCTATTTCCACTATTACCACCTGTTAAGATATATGCAATGCATGTAAAGGATAAGGGTTTGGAGGAATAACGACTGATTACACAATTCAGCTGTGTATCTATACACCAGGAGATCATACCCAAAATGATGCTAATGAATCGTAAAAATTAATATCGGTAGAAAATGACCTATTCAGTTTGGTGGGTTTTGACTAGCGGTGGAATCCAGGATGTGCACTTCGTCTTGTTTGGCACTCGTCAACCGAACTTACCTGTATTCCCCAGTGAGTGATGGCTTCCCCCTTGAGGTTCGAACCCATTAACCATCATTTCAAACGTCAAAGCGTTACCCGCTAGACCACTTGAACCATAACAGCCACTACTTGTGCATCGCGTGTCAGTCATTATTTGTTTTAAATTGACGAGTCCCAAGTGGGACGAAATGCGCGTCCTTGATTCCACCGCTATTCTCCATCCAACAAATTACTTCAAGCTGATCCTTAGGCATCGTCAGTTCACCCTCACAGGGAGCCAACATGTCAACAGAGGCTGAAAATTTCGGTCCAATCAACAATCAACAGGGAAATCAAAACTGAATTTTAAAAAGAAATGATTCCGTTATTTTATTACACCTGAAATTAAAGGGAAAAACAATTATTTCTTTGAAGTCTTTTTAAAAATGCTGATCCATGGTGCACTGATCAGTATTCATTTGAAATGAAGCACTTATTAATAGAATAGCAAAATAAGTTTTGCATCAAATTCTTCCCTGAGTATTGTGTTACGTGTTATTAGAATGAATTTGTTTTTGTTGTTTGTCTTTTTTTTTGTGGCAACATAAACGACTATTTACGCACGACTAAGGAAATATGTCACAAAACTAAGCGGAATACGTAGGAATCCAGGTATGAAATAGCTAAGCAAAGCGTATTTTTGTTTAACAGCAAATTGTAATGAACGCAGATTGATTGGTTTCCTGCCGTCCGGTTCTTTGATGTCGTATTCATCTGCCACATCACAAGTTAAAATGACTTGACCAGCTCTTGAAAACAATTTGTCGCGTTTTTCATTTGCCAGTGCAACAATTACTCTGCCAGATAACTGTGGTGTTTCAGCTGTGTACAAGAAATAAAGAGAAATAAAGACAAAGTTGTTAAGCTAAACATACAATTAAAACATAATCTAGAACACTTCACTGAATTAACCAGCAATAGGTAGTGAAATAGTAACCAGTTAGGCCAACTTATAACTCTGTTAGACATTTGGGGATTAGATGGATAATGTGGCGGCTAGGTTGAGTCAAACAATAAACAAGGCATTCTTGTGTTTGATGTCTAACACAATATAAGTGATAGAGGTTTTCCCAGTGACTGACTGGTTTCAACATAGAACTTTGCAAAGAAGTACAGCAGTTCGAGTTATCACACTCCATGTAACACATAAAGGAAGAGAAAGGAGAACGATACAGCTCGAAAGAAGGATAACAAGCAGAAATGCGAGGAAGAAAGAATAGTAACGTGGAAAAACAATAGGCTTTCAATGGATAGGGTAGATGCATCTGAGCCACTGAGAACAATTTTCAACTATATCACCGACTGTCTCCAGCTTTCATTGATTCCTAAAATTTTGAGGACCCTAACGAGGAAGTCTAAACCTTTCTGCATGGCAAGCTTACAATAACTGTTGTGGAATTCATTGACTGATGAGGCCATGTTTTTGTTTGACCACCACTGGCTCTTTTCCAACCTGATCCATCCTATATCAGCTAACATTGCTCCTAGTCAAGGAAGGCAATGGATGGCTAGGAGGCATGCGCGACGCGTGCCCTAACCATCTCAATCGATGTAGTTTCCCATCCTTGTCCACTGATTTCCTCTCCTTGCCTAGCACTCGACTGATGCCTAACCTCAATATCGCTTACTAACCTGTTATACCACTGAACAGGAAAGATAGAACTCAGGCATCTTTGATGAAATACAGCTAGCCTTTTCATCTCTGCCACTTTCAATATCCATATCTCACAGCCATAAAGGTGGATGGAGTAGACTGTTTTGCAGTACCCTCGTCTTTTGATTGATAGTCAAATGTCATATCTACGCCAGAGATGATGTTGGTTGGCAAATGCCAAGCGAGCCTTCTGTCTCCATACTGAGATTTCGCCAGCAATCAAGCCTCTGGGGATGATGCAACTTCCCAAATGAATAGAGTGGTCAGCACCGTCTACCAATTCACTCCGTATCATTGATCTCAGCGTGACGTTAGGCTAGCGAAGTAGACCTGAGCCGGGTTGAACTGTGTAATCTTGGTGAGCCAGAAATATGTATAAAGCATGAATGCAACTTCATAACGGAGTTTATCAGCCCTTACTACTGTGTTACTTATTTAACAGTCAACTTAGGTCATTTATGGCTAGTAAATAAAGTGCTTGTCTGAAGTTTAACAAAGAGTTGTTGCATGGTCAAGCTGTGTTGTTCATTCATCCGACTTGCAGTAGTGTTGGTTGAAACAATTCATTTTACGAGTTCATGATCAATAGTGTGACTAGTGTAACACAATGTTAAGCGACATTGCACGATTATAACTGGAATTTTTACACTTATGATCTACAACTTGGCTATGATTCACCTTAAGCGAATCATTCAGGTGAATCGGAAAACTAACAAAAAATAATTCCTCTGGAGCCTTAATGAAGCCTTAAATATAAATTAAGACATGAGAACTACTTATCCTCATCAATTCAGATTTTATCAACTGTTGTATTACTGAATGTTATTCTGAGTACCTAATATGGATCATTCAATGAACTTGATTATAGACATTTGTAAAAAATCATATTTGTAAAATCTCAGCGGAATTGAAATGAATAATTCCTACGTTTCATACGTTGGACAATCTGGTCCGAACTTCTTCAGGGAATTTAATCGAAATTAACATAATAGAGGTTTATATATAAAAAGGAGACATCTCTTGTTTTGAAAACCTTTGTCCAATCATATGATTCATGAAACAGGTATCAACATGTATAATAAGCAAAATTGTATGACTTTCAAAATTAGTCTACTTTTTTCAACACTTTAAACAGAGTGTACTGTTTAGTAAAAAGAAAAATAGATAGTAAATTTAAAATAAACATTTTCAGAAAGCCAACAAATTCGGACAGATACCTAGACTATTGTTCAGCACATTTCTTTACCACCAAAGTAAGACCAAAGTAAAGCCATTGCTCTAGGGACTTGATTTATCATGCTTGCTCGAGAACATCTCCCAGTATGGCTAAGTAAAGGTGTAGTCAAAACCATCAACAGTTCGATATTGGACCATCTGGTCCAAACCAGCCGGCCACAAAGCCAGTCACCATTGAAGAATCCTTTTCTATCATCATCTACCGGGTGCCAAATAAATTGCCAAAAGCATTCAGGTACCACATACTCCAAACATCAGAGGCTAGCGTGATTCGTGTGAAACAACCAGTGCTTTGTGTGCAAAAGAGGCAAGTCCAGCTAGCCACTACTACTGCCCTGTCTGGTCTTCAGTGGAGACAATAAATTCATGAATTTTTATTATTACCTTTCCTAATTTTTCTGATATTCAGTGTGTATTGTTATGGTGATGCTATTGAACTGTAATCCACTGATATTACTGATTCGATGTTATTTGAACAAAAACATTAATGTTGTTAATAACTCTGATTAATTCATTCATTCACTATTATGGATGGATATGTAACTGTAGAGCCTGCTGATGAAGTTATCAAAAGGAATATTCTTTGTTCAGTATCCATTCTTTTGAAAATTTTAATAGGCATTTTTAACCAGTTAAGTAAAAAAATATAAGAGTGAATGACCATAAACAATGTCTAAAGGTGGCTCCAAAGACCTCTGAAGACTTAAAGAAGCTAGAAAACAGATCAGCGATTGCACTGCATTCGATAGAAACGGGACACAAAATCGACTTTGATAGGACTGAGGTTCTACAGAAAGGTTTTGGTTCGTATAAAGAAAGACTGACTGCGGAAGCCCTACATATATGGGTGAATCCCAACAGTTTGAACAGACGTGAAGGTGTGATGTTAGCTGATGCATGACAAATCTTGATTAATAAATAAAAAAATATAAATAATGGATTTGTATCACTAATTAATCATACTTGGTCAAAATTCCCGATTGTCCATGTCTTCTTATGGAGTAGCTAACAAATGTTTTACAACTGTTTACCCATGCACACATACATACACACCTTTGTATACTGAATAACCACATACATTTTCATGTTCAGTTATCTACGACCATGAACTTTTAGTCGAACACAATCTGATGAAAAGTACACTCTCATTATGATAAAGGTTTTCTTGTATTTCCCAATGAATGAAAAACAAAACGATATTGTTTTTACTGACGTTTCGCTATTTAATGCTAATAGCTTTAAAGTGTTTAAAAAAGCAGACTAATTTTGAAAGTCTGAGGTCAAATTTTGATCACAGCTCATACAATTTTGTTTATCATAAATGTTGATACCTGTTTCATGACTCATATGATTGGACAAAGTTTTCAAAACAAGAGATGTCCTTTTATATATGTAAACCTCTGTTATGTTAATTTCGATTAATTTCCCTGAAGAAGTTAGGACCAGATTGCTGAACACAGGAAACGTTGGAATTACTCATTTCAATTTCGCTGAGATTTTACAAATATAATTTTTACAAATGTCTACTTCTCACTCGGCGCCCAATTATTTGGGAACTATTCAGTCAAATCTTGATCACAGTTCATATGAGTTGATTACAGATATTCGTTTAGAATACGTACTGAACAGTTAACTCTTAATAAATACTCTGCCGATGTCACCTCCAACTGCGTTTACGAATTTACATGCACTTGCGGGAGCAAGAATGGCTTCTATCCGGTTTTCTGAACATATTCCAAGAAACCTGTACCTGAAAGGAAGCAAATATTCTCAGAGTGCAATTATCAGACATATTGTTGATACCAGACATCTCGTAGAGATTTCTAAGTCCTTCAAAATAATAAATAGACAAAGGACAGCAAATTTACTACGATTTGCCGAAGCGATCACAATCAAACGATTTAAACCAGACTTATGCATACAGAAAGAGAGTGTGATTAACCTCTCACTCCCTTGATTACATTAATTAGTCATGTAATTCAGTGATCTCAACTCACTGAACAAATCTTAATCTCATAAACTGTAACCGCTTTTGTTTTTTGAGTTGCTATGTGAACCTACAAGCTGACACTGTTCTGTTAATCAGTTTTTTCTGTTTTCTGTCTTACCCCTCCCCCCTTCTTTGAAAGCGTATAAATTGATGATGAAAACTTAAACTAAAAATTGTAATGCTTTCATTCTTTTGGATGCGTCAATTTTATAGTATCTCTTCTCTACTACCATTCAAACATTAAAGTATGTTATTATCATCTATATAACCATTGAAATTTCAGGTAGTCTGCAGTTGATGAGAACCTGTGAAATAGAATGACGATATCATTTTATACTGCAAATTTCGTCTTCCTTTCTTTATCGAAAAAACTTTTTATTCATCCATGAGGTGTACACTGCGGAAGCAGATTAACACCAATTCACATTCTACCAGGCATTAAGCCTGCAATAATGACCTTAAGTATTAGTAGCGTTAATTTAAAAGTACATTTGCACTCTTAATCAATGCTTCATTGGATTTAGTACACTTGTTTAACAGAATGTTTTGAATTTATGTGAGCTTAACTTTTTTTTAATGAAAATTTAATTGGGTCACGTATTTGTACTTTATTATTTTTATATAATATATTTTTTTGATTAGAGAAACTTATAGAATTCTGCATTGCTTAATTGCTAACTTCAGACAGTAAAATGAAAGATGTAAACGTCTGGAATTATGGAAGGACATCAGTATCTTTGATCTCACTCGAGAATTTAACTTCGGGATAATAGATAATCTCAACAAAAAGTTATTATCAAGCAGAACAAAATGGTTATACAATTATATGAGCTACTCAGATATTCGCAAACAGTACACTTTATGGTTCATACCCAGTGGTCTGCCTGTGTGGCACGTGTTAGGACTCTCGTTGACCATGCACATGGTCGGGTTCGATCCCTG